CAGGAGCAGAGACTCTACAGGTGAACATCACACATATCTCACTTCCAGATATCACCATGAGACTTTCCACTTCACCACATTAACACAATGCTTTTCTGACTTCTGACAAATATGCAAATGAGGCGATATGTGATGTCTGAGAGTTTACCTGCAGAGTTACTGAAATAAACATTTACACATCAATTAAGATGTTTTCTTTCCTCTAGTCTGAAAGAAGACGTGAAGGAAGATGAATATCCTAGGGTCACACCTGAAGGGTCTCACCTGTAGGGTCTCACCTGAAGGGTCTCACCTATAAGGGTCTCACCTATAGGGTCTCACCTGTAGGGTCTCACCTGAAGGGTCTCACCTGAAGGGTCTCACCTATAGGGTCTCACCTGTAGGGTCTCACCTGAAGGGTCTCACCTATAGGGTCTCACCTATAGGGTCTCACCTGTAGGGTCTCACCTGTAGGGTCTCACCTGTAGGGGTCTCACCTGTAGGGTCTCACCTGTAGGGTTTCACCTGTAGGGTCTCACCTATAGGGTCTCACCTGTAGGGTCTCACCTGTAGGGTCTCACCTGTAGGGTCTCACCTGTAGGGTCTCACCTGTAGGGTCTCACCTGTAGGGTCTCACCTGTAGGGTCTCACCTGTAGGGTCTCACCTGTAGGGTCTCACCTGAAGGGTCTCACCTGTAGGGTCTCACCTGTAGGGTCTCACCTGTAGGGTCTCACCTGTAGGGTCTCACCTGTAGGGTCTCACCTGTAGGGTCTCACCTGTAGGGTCACACCTGTAGGGTCTCACCTGAAGGGTCTCACCTGTAGGGTCTCACCTGTAGGGTCTCACCTGAAGGGTCTCACCTGTAGGGTCTCACCTGTAGGGTCTCACCTGAATTGATGACCTCACTGTATTCCTAATGTTTTGAATAGTGCTGATATATATAGTGTTTGAATTCTTGATAGAAAGGTTCAGGACTCAGCCCATTTCTTTTTATAGATATGACATTCTGTGTGACCTGTGACCTGTGACCTGTGACCTGTGACCTGTGACCTGTGACCTGTGACCCCACCTTTCCTCGTCACACTGTCATGCACGTATCACTAATAAAAGCCTTGAATCTTGAATCTTGATTTTATGAACCTTTACAGTGATGGCCTGTATTCCTCCATCTGAAATGAAATAGGATCTCATCTGATGTTTTATTGAAAGTGACTTCTGAAACAGGGTGGAGCTGCTGCTGACGTCACTGCCTGTCACTGATGGGAGTGTCCCTTATGTCTCTTATGTGAGAGGGAGGGGCTCTGACGTCACTAACCCCCCCTCCTCCGTGACCGGCACAGAAATTACGCAGTGCGCTTTTACGCACAGAAAACTGACAGGAAAGTCAAAATGACACGAAATGTAATTTGTAAGTAACTTCGAACACATTTACCTTCAACACGATGTCTGCCACGCGGGAGTTCCGGTACCGCAGCAGCACCCCCAGCCCGATGGGGATCAGGGTGCTGCACAGGGTCAGGATGATGGCTCCAAAGGGCATCAGGTTCACCACCGGGGTGTTGATCCAGGCCCGGCTGTAGACCCAGAGGCACAGCGGCATCAGAACCAGAGCCAGCAGCGTGGAGGAGATGGTCATGATGATGCTGAGAGACACGGGGAGCAGGGGTTAATACAAGAGACAGGGATTCAAGATGCAAAGGCTTTACCATCACGTGCACAGCAGCTAAGTCCCAGGCTCCTCCAACAATGTTATATATATACTGTATATAAATGAGACACCAAAACAATCCAACACATTGAAACAAGTGCAAGAAGAAACCGAGTAGAATAGCAGCAAGACTAATGTGAAGGAGAAGTGAAATACATGTCAAAGAAAATACATAAAATAAGATAAATGTTGTGACCAAGTATATATATATATATATATATATATGAGTCAGACTTAATATTGAGAAGCGATACAACATGTCACAATTAAAGATTAACATTAACAGCGAATTTATACAAACTAAAAATACATCTGTATCTAAATAATACTATACAGGAAATACTGAATACATTTGAATTCTCTGTTTATTAAATTCTACTAAAATAATTATTTCAGAGGCTTCAAGGAGATGTGCACTTTAACAGCTCTCTCGCACTGCATGTATCGATGCTGCTATATTGTATTACCATGTTCTAATACTTGGGTATTCTGCTCTTTTCTTGCATTGTTATGTATTTGTACTGCTGTGTTTGTAAATGTCATTTTCTTCACGTGAGGGACTGCGGATGGAAAGTAGCTCAAAGCTAAACCCGGCATTATTACACCTGGCACATTTCATGTTTTAAGTGTTTATTAATGTGCATTGTCCCTGCCAAATAAACCATTAAAATCAATTAAAAATAAACATAAGAGCCGTGCGTAAAGCTCTCCAAGTGCCCGGGATGTCCGTGCCGCGTCATTTGCCAGTTTACGCACACATTTACAGGTTCTCTTATAAACTCTTAAAAAGTTGTGTTTCTTGATGACTTCCTACCTGAGGTTCATGTCCCCGTGCATGAGCAGCGACAGGATGTTGGACAGGTTCCCGCCCGGGCAGCAGCCGCAGATCAGCACCGCCATGGCCGCGACGTCATCCAGAGAGAAGGCGAGTGCGAGCAGGAAGGCCACGAGCGGCATGATGACGAACTGGCAGATGATGGCCAGCAGGACCCCCACGGGCCTCCGCACCTGCTCCCCCAGCGCGCTCACATCCACCGTGCAGCCCAGACCCAGCATGGTGAAGCACAGCACGAGACCCACGAACACGTTGATGCCGTGGCTCAGCGGGGAGTCCCAGAAGGCGGGAATCTCCAAGTCCTGGGGTCGCGAGGCCATGAAGTCCGCCTCTGAAGCGCTGCTGCTGCCTTCAGGGACCATGATGGCACCGCGGGGAGCCTCTGGAGACCCCGCCGCGCGCCACAAAGTGTCCGAGAGGAAGTGAGCGAGGCCCGACAGCAGGCTGGAGCTCTCCATCTCCATCCGTCCGCGCGTAAAGAGAGTCCGCTTTAGTGGCACAGCGTGCGGGGAGATGGAGCCATGGCACGAGCTCTCTGAGGATTGGCTCCCTAACGCACGGCCGGAGGAGAGTCTTAAAGCTTCAGAGGGAGGGGAGGGGCAATACATGAGGAGATAACCAAGTACCTTTACTCAATTTAGAGGTACTTGTACTTAACTTGAGTATTTTTAAGCTACTGTGTACTTCTACTCCTCTACAGTTCAGAGGTACATGGTGTACTTTTCCTCCTCTACATGTATGTAATCCCTTTAGTTACTTCTCAGATGTGGATGAATGATGTGAAATCTAATCAAGTGTTAAATCAGACTTTAGTTCCACCTGGAGTAAATCCACCAGCTACCCTGCAGTATACAAAGTCATTCAAACTAGCTGCACCTTTACCAGCTTTGAGAACACTTTCATGATCAATCATTATAAAACATATCATATATATTATTCTGAAATGGACCAATCTGCACAATGACTACTTTTACTGTCTTTCACTATATTTTACATGAGAATACTTTTCTACTTTCACTTGAGGAACATTTTGAATGCA